TACAGAACACCTTTTGGGGGGTGTCTTTTTGAGACAGGGTCTCCCTGTAGCCCCAGCTGGCCTGGCATTCGCTATGTAGACCAGTCTCACAGAGATCTGCCTGCCTCTGCCCTCCAAGTGCTGGGACTAAAAACGTGTGCCATCACACCAGTTCATATAGAACATCTCAATCAACCAATCTTAATCATCTTTATACTCCCTTAAGCAGTATAATCCTTTAAACTTTATTTTTAATACTGTATTACAAACTAGTCTGTTCCTTAATTTTTTTACCCTTAATTTTTCTCTTATTCTGTGTTGCTGAGATGTCAAAAAGAAAGTGAACAGGGCACTAAATGACTATGTTTTATCCTCTTGGTTCTGGGAACTCAGATTAATATGAGAGTATATACAGAAGGTTAGAAAGAGGGTTTTACGTTAGTTCTTCCAAGTTAAAGACATGTAACCATCACTGTTCTTGGTAAGCTTCTTGAAATTTAATAATCATCACATTCATGATAAGCTCCATTACTTGTTTGTTATATTTTGGCAGCTAAAGTGACCAAATAATATTGCAACCACTGCTAATTTTGTTCATAGAAAAGATCGTAACACTCAAACCTGAGAATTTATACTTACACAAAAAAGAATCGTGTACAGACATGATCCGTATTTGGGACAACCCATATCTCACCATGTTTGTGTAGGTCAGGAGAGGTGATCACTGTAAGGGGAAGATAAAATTAAAGAACTATTTAATTCTAAAGGAATCTGAGTCCATCCCAAGTAACTACATTCCTTCTGTGTGAAATTCTAAAGCAAAATACCTATACTAATGATCATATGATAAATGTCTAACAAAACCAACTGTTAAGACAAGTAAATTAGATCAACAAAAGGTCATGTAACCTCCATGTTGAAAAATAATGGCTATAATAAAAAAGAAGGAAATTATTCAACTATGATCAAAACCAAGTAGGTCATGACTTAACTATGTAGATAGCAACTAGTGTCATGTATAGCTATCAAGTGTTGAAAACTTGAGAGGTAGAAAATAGAACTTACTGACAGTTCTAATGCAAAAAGAGAAAGCGATTTTTTAGTCATTCATTCATTTTTATTTAAAAAAATCTGAGTTTTGTGTAATGCATTTTGGTCATTTCTCTCATAATCTTTTCAGATCCATCACTACCTCCCTACCTACTCATCTTCATGTTCTTTTTCTCCCCCATCAAGTCCAATTTGTGTTACTCAAATACACTTAACAGTGGTACCAGTCCCAGAGCGTGGTCAACCTAACACACCTTTAAATAAAACAGTCTTTTCCTCTCCCACCAGCAACCGTAACGTTAGCCAGACAAATTTTAAAGCAAGAACAAAGAAAAGAGTATGATGTTGCAAATCACCTATCGATTTTTCTACACTAAGTTCAGAATAAAGAGTGAGTCTGGTGAAGGAACAGAAAGTCCTATTGGGTAATCTCCTCAGAGCTTGGGTCAGGCTTCAAGATTTTTATTATCTTATGCATTCAAGCACCAACTTCAAGAGAAGTAGCACACTAACAAAAGAAATGAGTATTACATGATCAAAAAGATAGAATTACATTCTGAAAACCTGCCAGGAATAAAGAATAGCCTCGTCTGAATCCATGCCAAGTCTGCACTTTGGTTTTAACCTTTATGATCTCAACTGTACTTATTTTCCATGGTGCCCTTTGAGATGGTCTTAAGGAATACTGCTTCACTCTTCTACCATGAACACTCTGTAAATACACTTGAACTCTAAAATACAGATAAGACAGAAAGCTAAGTCTTGGGCACTTACCTTCACATAAGGCTATGCATTTCAAGTTACGGCTTTGCAGGAATTGGGATTGCTGTCCTTTTTTCTGAGACTAAATCATAAAACAATTAAAAGATTAAAGTAAAAATGGAACACTACATAAAAAACTGTGCATCACTAAAAAATAATAGTGATCAAGGAGGCAACACGAAAAAAATCTTATCTAGTCCAGTATAGTACCCTTGTATTCTATAATATTCAGTAATTTTTGTTGTATCATTTAATTTCTGTACATAATCATTATCAAATTACTTGTAAAATGAGTGAACTGAAACAATGTTAAAATAGAGTTCAGTCATCTTAGAACATACAATTAGAGTTCAAATTTATTTTTACTGCTAAAGCTGACAGGTTTATATCAAGCTATACAAAATTAAATTTGTATGATCTTTCAAACACTAAAATCAATCACTCCAGACTATGTAACTAGTCAAAAATCAACCTGTGTATTTAGTACCACTTAAAAAGCCACAGAGGTTTTAAAACATCTCATATTGAGACTGGATTTACTTTCAGATATCACAGAAGCTGAAGAGACATCCCCCATCAGCTGGGTTTCCAGTTTGCCCAGCATATGTTTACTTTCTTTAAAAATGCATGAGATTTGTCCTCACTCTTCTCTGTCTGGAATGTTCTTTTTTCCAGAGAGCCACAGGGCTCACTTACTCTCCATCTCTAAGGTTTTATTCAAATGCTATCTTCTCATGAGTGTTTTCTCCTGACCACCTCACTTAACATCCACTCCAGCTCCATCTTCCACCCTAGAGCATTACATACTCTGTTCTGTGACAGTTTTCTTTCTCATCTAGCATTCTATCTATCTAAGCATGGTGTTAATTTATATCCCCTCATGTATTATCAAGAGGACTGGAATACTTTGTCTCAATTTGGTCTCCACTGTCCCTTAGAGTCCCCAAGAAACACTGACATTATAGTGGGAGACCAGCATATACATCTGTCAAATAATTATTGACTATAGGTAATTTGGTTATTGCGTTTGGAGTGAGTTTTATCCCTTTATGAATAATGACCAATTAAAATAATTTGTGCATGCTCGATAAGCCTATTTATTGAAGCCCTGCTGGCTAATAGGGCCATGGTTGACTAATCATATGCAGTCATTCAAGTTGCCACAACACCTGTGATGCAGTACTGCTTTTACTACTTGAAGCCGGCTCATCCTTGGTTGACACCTTCTGCTTCTTGTTCATCCCTAAAAAATATCAGAAAAATAGCAATTTAGGGGCAAAGCTGATTGATGCGAATGAAAGTAAAATCCATCTGCGTCAAAAGTTGACTGTAGGCAAAAATATAATCACACTAGGTAAGAGATGGGCACAAGAGGCTCTCAAGGGAACAGCTGCTGTACCCTAGTATCTGGGGTAGTTGGACATCAAGTGTGGGAAATCCAGGAGATTTAGCAAATAGAACTCTCAGTTTGTTCTTCTTTACATTGAAAACAGAGATGCAAAATTATTTGGCATAGACTACAATTAGGAAATTCTTAAAACTTGGTAAATTAGAACTAACTTTCATCCTTATCTGCTTAGCATAAGGCCAAGAGGAGTGGGAAAAGTAAACAATAAAAAATATATTGCAGTGCAACTTTGTGAACTATTAACACATACTCACTTCTATGTGAAATTTATCATTTATTTTAATTATGAAAAGTTATATAAATTATTTGTCCATAGTAGTCACAAATCTGGGCTTGCTCTATTAATGTCATAATGTCTTACAGTGAAAGATTTTAGAAAAAAAACTGAACTCTCTCTCTCTCTCTCTCTCTCTCTCTATATATATATATATGGAATTGAATCTATACTAGAGAAAGTTCAACTACTATCACACCAGGCATTAAGATATTCTTAAATTTTGTTAATGTTTCAATAAACGTCTTGGAGGAAGGAGCAAAACTGTTCAACAATTTGCAAAGTACAAAGTCTTTCAAGCTGGGCACTCCCCTACTTGCACAGGTAGGCAGAGGCAGACACTGCACTTCAGACATGTCAGACAGAGGAAAAGGCAGAGCATTACATACAGGGGCTGTTCCACTATCTAGGCTCTGTGTTTTCAGACCTCAAAACTAACTTCACTCTCATCTTTCTCTAGAGATCTTTACAAGTCCTCAGGATTAGGGATAGAACCCAGGGGCTCACATACACCAGACAAGTGCTCCATCACCAACCTATATCCCCAGCTCTTGATTACTACTTTTTTTTCAGCAAATCAAGAGCCCTTTAAGATTTTGATAAAAGGTGGACTCTCACCTAGAGAAACGCACACACAGAGACAAAATTTCACATCCAGTCACACTCCTGTATCTCCACTCAGTTCTTTCCATGAATCTAAGGAGTCTATACACTAGTGTAAGAAGCAAAAATCACAGTATTTGATATCTATGCTGACTATGCATAATGTACCTCAAAAAACATTTTAGCTTCTTCCTGTATCATTTAAAGAGTCAGATTTTAATTATTTTCCTTTAAATGGTTAGTCCATTCCTATCTCGATGCCATTTTACACTTCCCATAAAGAAATCCTAGTGTTCTTTTCATATCTCACTACAATTGTATTTCTCAACCTACATGCTCTGTCACAATGCAACATGTCACTCTTTCATCAACAGAGGACTTCAGTGAAGAGGGAGAATGTGAAAGGGCTGTGCTGGCTTTGACCAAATGTATGCAGTTGCTGCCCTCCTGTGATTTGAGAGACGAGATTAGGAAAGCCCACACAAAAGCTACCCAATATTCTTAATGCTTGGGAAAATTCTCTTGGGATGACCAAATTGGATCAGCCACATCTAAGGACTTAGGATGTTGTTTCAGTTCATTCCCACCCAGGCACCTGGCCTGAATTTAGGCTATCTTAGCAATACTAGAACAACCCAACTGCCAACTGAGTGCTGGGTAGTGGATGCTTTGAGAAACAGAAGAATCATCTGGCAGACTGGTATACGAGACTCCTGACCCAAAGAATCGATGAGCACAATAAAGGGGTTGTTTCCCCTGACATTTAGGATGATTTTCCATACAGAAGTAGTCACTCAAATAATTATCTGTACATATTATGCCTCTTTACAACTTTTCATTGCATATTTTATTTTCCTTTTCTTGTTACCTTGCAGTTCTCTCAAGTTGCACATCTTCTTTCCATCAGAATATTTTTTCTAACACTGATATTTCTAAAAATAAATCTAGTGTTAAGTGCTGCAATTTTACTCCTCCATCACTAAGAAATAACTTACTATGGATGAGAGAGCATAAACCTTGTTGAATGAACACACAGAACTAACAGACTTCTTTAAATTTCTTTTCTGCCATAGGAAGTTATTAAGACGTATCATTCAGGCACCACATGTGCAGTATCTCCTGAAACTGAAAAGTGATCATAACACACACACACGTGCACACACACACACACACACACAAGTATTTAAAAGTGGAAGGAAAACACAAGCATTGCGGCTGTAGGACAAGTGAGAAATTGTCATTGGCTATTTTTTAAATTTTATGTAATTTAAATCTCTTTACAAGGAGTACAATTACATTCTACTTAAATTTAAAAAGTGAAAAGCAGCACTCATCACAAACTCCACCACCCACGTTTTAAACGTAGCAGGCTCCCTACAGCATGTGATTTCAGTTTACCTCTAAAACACCACCCATACCTCATCAAAGTATTAGCATGAAATTTCTATTTGGACTGTTTTGTTTCTGACTCATATCAAATGAATTTAATAAAAATATCTGATATATTCAATCTTAGGATGAAAATGTGTGTCTACAGCCTATAAAACTAGGAAAACAAGAACCTAGCACCATTGAAATTAGAAATGAAATACAGGATTACCTGAGTAACCAAAGGATATGCTTGACATTGGGCTAAGATAGATTCCACTTCCATACATTGCACCGTGGAGCTATAATGTAAAGACATAGGAGGGAGAAAGAGGTCAGTTTAAATGTTAATAGTCTATGAAGAAATGCAATCAGTTTCATTCTGGAACATTATGTCTTGGAAAAATGATAGCATACTTATGCCAGGGTCTAATTTGAAAATAGCACTACTATCGTGTGGATAAATTCAGAGTTTATAAATGAAATATGATAGAAGAAAAAAGAGCCTCAAATAATGTTTTCTACTCTGCCTCACTGCAAAGAATTGTAGTCAGTTTTTAGTTTAATGAGTCTAAAATTCTGAAAACAAGACTTGCTGAAAAGCATGGAAAGGAAATTTTATTGATTCACTTGCCAGTATATGAACAAAGTACCTACTAGGGTTTATTATCTAACACATCTGTCATTCCATTCCTTGGCTACAGTTCTAAAGTTAAAAGGAGTTTCATTATTAGAAATTCACCTGGTCTAAGGAAACTCAGAACAATTAAATTCACTTTCTATCACTTCTATGTTCTGGAGACTGCACATGCTAGAAGAGCTCAGTACCAGTTCAACAAATACACACTTACGGACATTCCCATTACATTACAAACACCTCAATGGTCATTGTACATGAGTGACAACTAGCTCAGGTGACCAGATTGAGGTTCTGAATCCTCACGTCTTTATGCTGTGTGATGAACAATTTAGCTGAATGGGACTGAAGAGGAATGGGCAAAGGAAGTGCCTGAGCACAGCAGAGGGCTACAGCTGCAAAATAACACCGAACACTGCACTGGAGGCCGGAGGGGAGGCAACAGTGGATTTATGGTACCTCGCTTCCACTTACTCCTTAATTTTCTCCCCTAAAAGGACTCATACTGAGGCATAGTTCTGAAGAAATGCATGTTGGAATAATGGATAATAATAATATCCTGTATGGTTTTACTTTCTTTATGGTAATGTTTTAATTTTTACTTCCAAAGTGTGATTTTTAGTTTTTCTCACAGGGAATGCTTTGTAGCTGAGTACAGATCAATTTTGCTTCAGGTATTCTGGGAAAATGTGCTTCTCTTTATTAGAAATTCCACATGTTGTTTTAAATAAATATTTTAAAGTTCATACATCTCCCATTTTACAATCATAATTGCATGCTAAACCTCAATAATGAAGAACAATGGTCATATCAAAGCATTCACACATTACCTGCAGACGTGTATTTGAGGCAACAACCAGACCATTCCTCAGGATAGAGTGCCAATTTTCAATGTGAGAGCCACTAAAACACAAAAAGGAGGGGAAAAAGCTGATCCAGAAAGTCAATGATCTTTTATGTTGACCCTAGTACAAGATGCACATGAAAGTTCTGAGCTCCCAAGTTAAGAACTATGCAGCCAATCAGTCACAGCAAAAGCCAACTTCTGAGAGACCAGGCCCCTACTCGCACCCACCCACTTTTGGGAGACTGGGTGGAACATTCCCCTTGACATGCAGCTATACTCACTGAAATGCAAAGGTGCTGCCAAAGAGCTTTTTAGCAGCTCTGAAGTTGGATTCTTTGGCTGGTGGGCTGCTGAGAAGGAGAAACTGATGTGGGGTGTGCATGAACTTCAATTGCTGGCATTCGAAATAATGACAAAGGAAAACATGTCATATTTAACATACAATCAAGCTGGTGGCAATTTCAGATTTTATCATCTTTGAATTATTCAAATTATCAAAATTCAAATTATATTAATTTTACACTAATGACATTTACAGACTAGTTCAAAAGCTATATATTTTAAATTCCTGCATAAGTATTAAATCACTTGGAACTGTTGATATGAAATGAATTCTTTATGCAAATGAGAAAGGAATGCCTGACAGACAATCCAAAGTCAAACTGGGTGTGGTGGAGCATGCTTTTAATCCCAACAGTTTAGTTTAGTTTGTTAGTTTTTGACAGGGTCCTCTAGTCCCAGACCACCTGGAACTCACCATATAGACCAGGCTGGCCTCAGTCTCACAGAGATCCCCCTATCTTTGCCTCCTGAGTGGAGTGCTGGGCTAAAAGGTATGCTTTACCATGCCTGGCCTTTTTTTTTTTAATTATTGTTTAAAAACTACTTGGGCTGAAAAATAAGATATCTGAAGACGGTATCTTTTCATACATGGAAAGGTGAAATGGGAAAAACAAACATTACTACAATCTGTTCCAAACTACCACTTCTCTATCACTTGTGGGATGGCTACCTTCTCTGATGTTGAGGATAGTGTTATTTATTTAAAAGGGCAATGTGCAAGCCAAATATGGGTTAGATATCTTGAAGGGTTTGCGGCTACTGCACAAATTGAAGCAGAAGAATTAAGTTATCCTAGGTGGGTAGCTTCCATTCTTGGAAAGGCTGCCTGATAGCCATGGGGTGCATATTTGAAAACACAACTTACCCTGTTAACTGGCAGTTTCACAATATGTGACCTATTACTTGAGATAACCCTGGAATTGAAATAATCAGTCAGTCACAACTATATGCCAAAAACATTTAATGATTTACTTCTTAGTCAGCAAGTGACTGAAATGTATTTCTGTTGTACCATAATTAAATTCCATAATACTCTTTTATTGACAACATAAGTTTAGTATTTATTAATGCAAGTTAGGAGCTTATATAACAAAAAGATATTGTCATCTGAGAAAATGCACTTCATGTAACTTATGAAGATAGAGTTCTTAATAAACACACCCCAAATATTAGAAAAATAAACAATTTTGGATATTCAGCACTTTCCAAGTATTATAGTCTATAAACATGAGACATTAATTCATATATATCTTTGTATTGCTTCACTCTACATCACTTACATTGAGGGAGATCATAAGAATATTCTATTTATTCAACCAATTAAGGGTATCTTTGAACATGTAAGTAGACAGAAAGACAGATAAAGAGATAAAGAAATAGATGACAGTGGCTTACATATAAAACTCAACATACTTAGACACCGACACTGACAAAATTTTTAATTCAGGTACTTGAAATAAAGAATGTTTGATATTCTTTAGTAAATGAAAAAAAATAAGAGGAAACTACAAAGTATTTTATTAGATTTTCTTCTCCCTGAAAGAAGAGCAACAATAATCCAAAGGAAAATACAAATAAATAAGTGAAAGTAAGAATCATGGTGATAGTCCTGAGCACAAAAAAGCAATGCTGGAGGAGCTGGATTTCAAACTACATTATAGGTTATAGTCATAAAACAGTATCATATAGGCACAAGAACAAACAAGTAGATCAATGAAACAAAACAGAAGATCCATTCAAATATGAGTGCACACAATTTCAGCCATCATATATTTGACAAAGATGCGAATACACTCTGTAAGAAAGACAGCATCTTCAACAAGTGGTGCTAGGAAAACTGGAACTCCATACATAGAAGAATGAACTAAGGCCCAACTCTATTACCCATAGAAAATTCAACTCCAAATGGATCAAATACCTCAATGTGAAACTTGAAATGCTCAAATTGTTAGAAGAATACATAGGCAGTATCCTACAAGATACAGGTGCAGGAAAGGACTTTCTAAACCAGACTTCAAGGGCTGGGAGATGACTTAGTGGCTAAGAGCACTGGCTGCTCTTGCAGAGGACCAGGTTTGATTCCCAGCATCCACATGGCTTGGTGGCTAACCAGGACTCCAGTTCCAGGAAAATCCAAAGCCCTCTTCTGAAATCTGAGGGCATTTCATGACACAGATGCAATAAATACACTCATATACATCAAATAAAAATAATAAATAAAAATATTAAACAGGTTTCAGTCATTCAGGAATTAAGGTCAACAATTGACAAATGGAATCTCATTAAAATAAAAACCTCTGTACATCAAAGGAAATGACCAATAGGGAAAGCGGAAGCTTTCAGAGTCTTATAGAAAATTATTATCTAGAATGTTCAAGGAACTCAAAAAACAAAGAATCAAGAAAACAAACAAGCCATTCAAAAATTGGGTTATAGATTGAACAGAGAGTTCTCAAAAGAAGAAATTAAAATGCCATAAGACATATCTTGTTTTTTTTTTTTTTTTTTTTTTTTTTTTTTTTTTTTTTTATAAAGGTTCCCCTTTGGCCCCCAGTTGTCCCGGAACTCCCTATGTAGACCAGGCTGGCCTTGAACTCACGGAGATCCACCTGCCTCTGCCACCCAAGTGCTGGGACTACAGGCATGCGCCACCAGGCCTGGCTGACATACCTTTTAAAAAAAAATTTTTTTTTTTTTGGTCTTTTTTGAGACAGGTCTCCTTGTAGCCCCAGCTGTCCCAGAACTCACTATGTAGACCAGGCTGGCCCTCGAACTCACAAAGATCCGCCTGCCTCTGCCTCCCACATGCTGGGATTTTATTTTATTTTATGTGTATTTGTGTATTGCCTGCATGTAGGTAAGTGCAACCGTGTCCTTCAGTGCCCACGCAGGTCAGAAGAGGCTGTTGGATCCCCTGGAACTGGAGTTACGGACAGTTGTTCGCTGCCATGTGGGTGCTGGGATTCGAACCCAAGTCTTCTGCAAGAACAGTCAGTGTTGTTAACCACTGAGCCATCTCTCCAGCCCCTTTAAGAAATATCTTTAAAGTACTCAACAACCTTAATAATTAGGAAAATGCAGATTAAAACTACTTTTAAGATTTTATCTTACCCCAGTCAGAATAGCTAAGATCAAGAAAACAAATGACACAAATGCTAGTTAGGGTGTGGGGAAAGGGGAACCTCATTCACTGCTGGGGACAGTGTAACCTAGTGTGACCATCATGGGAATCATTGTGGAAAACTCTTGAAAATTAAAAATAGATCTACTGTATGACCCAGCCATACAACTCCTTGGCATATACCCAAAGGACTCAATATATAGAGATACTTGCTCAGCCATGTTTATTGCTGCTTTTTTCACAATAGCTAGGAAATAGAAACAACCTAAATGTCCCTCAGTCAATGAATGAATAATGAAAATCTGGAAAACGAACTATACAATGGAGATCTAACAAAAATCTGGATAACAAAACATACAATGAGTTTTACTCAGCCGTAAAGAAAAATTAAATAATGAAATGGATGAAAGTAGACACTGTTATACTGTTATTATACTAGACACTGTTAATAATAAATGGGTGGAACTAGACACTGTTATACTAAGTGAGGTAACACAAAATCAGAAAAACAAGCAACACATGTTCTCTCTTATTTGTGGATCCTAGCTCCAAATACTTAGACATGAGTATATCCTGATGTAACTGCAGAATACAGGAAAATGGAAAGAAGCCACAGAGGTAAAGGGAAAGAAGGAGCTTGAGAGAGGTGGATAGTAGGAGACAGGTATATCAAGCAGAAGTAGAGAAAACCAGGAATATGTTAACTGGGGAATGAATAGGGAAGGCCACACAGGAGGAGAGAGAGAAAGGGAGATAAATAATGTTTAGGTGGTGTTAAACACCAAAGAGAAATGTATACTTATTCATAAGCCTACTGAAGAATGCACATATAATTTATGTGAGTGCAAGTGTATAGGTGAAGGCTACATATAACAAAAATCACAGTTGTTGGTCAAGGTAGTCCAAGAGACTCCAAAAATAATATAATAATATAGACTATTGCCACAACCTTTGATTGCTTCCCAGAACTTGAAGGTAAGACCCTATTGCTGAAGACAAGACATAGAACTTGGGAGAAAATGAGCTGGAACTGACCTGGAAGCCTCCTCCCTGAAGACTAGCTCTCATAGTATTAGAAGGTACTATGCAAGCTGTCAAGGGAGAAAACCATCAATGATCTCGCCCAGCTGTAAAACCTACAAACCACAACAATAACTACCCCAGCAAAGTATCTTCATTGATACAGTAGTAGCACTTTTATCTTGGAGATAAGCACCTATCTAATTTGACTTAAGGTCTGCTCAACAGAAGGGAAGTCAGGTGTAATACATGGCTGGAAATGTCACAGACACTAGAGAATAACTTAGTTCTGTCACTTCTCTAGACTATCTTAATGTCTTACTGTATTCTCAATACATACCCTTATATTTACAGAGAAATATAACTCTCACCACTCATCAAAGAAGCTTCTTTTTTCAGCAGATGGAGACTATTATGAAGTTCCACAACTGTTCAAATGCAGAGAATAAGTGTCTGTGAGGTGTCCAGCTACAATGCAACCTCTACATTTAGGGTTCAGGGAACATCATGGAAGATGGGGTTGAAAGAATGAAAGAGCCAGGGGGATAAGACACCTGCCACTACTTAAGGCATTCTAGACATGCTAGAGAAGCTATGCTAATGAAATCTCCACAGTATGGTAGTCAGGTAACAAGACCAGTATATAGGTGGATAGGAGAAATTTCAAGGGGTCCCACCTCTAGATGAAGCGCTGCAGGCAATCAATCAATGGATGCTGAGGGAGGGATAATCAGTTTTCTCCAGGAACTAGCTCATTGAGGGGTTATCTAATTCCAAGTGGGAAGTCCTAAACACAGGTACATAGGAGAACCATTAAATGGGTTATGTACATGTATGTCTGTGTGTGTCTGTGTATGTGTATGTGCATATGTAACAATAATAAAATGATGAGAAACTGAGAGGGAGTGTGGAGGACATAGGAGGCGGAGTTGGTGGGGGACAGGGAGGGATGGAAAAAACACAAAGACAATACTAGTGTATGACATTCACAAAAAGAAAAATAAAAAATAAAAAAACTAATCAGGCTGTCTTCAAGGGAAAAATGACTATATATGTATTTATATATAATATTTCCTTTCACTTTGAGAAAGTGAAAGACATTAAAAGTGCCATTTTTCTTCATTTTTGTCAGGATTTTAGTAACAAATAAAACAGATTGAAGGAAGGCAAATTTCTTCAGCCAAATTTTGTCATGATCTTGCTAAACTATGAGATTTTACAATTTTGACTAAGTGAGAGAAATCAGAATCCCGAGGAAACTGGATTCTTTACCCTTTGATCACATCTTTTTTTAAAACTTGAAGCCTGTCACTCCCAATAAGTGTTTATGTATTATAATAAGTGTGTATGTGTTATAATCCTCTTTGTATGACTATAAGATAGTTGTACCAGAATTTTTGAGCTTTCAAAGTGATTTCAAAGATCCATATACAGAAAATCTTTATAACCTCTTTTTGTCTTCACTTTGCAAATGAGAGGAAAGATTTGAGGCTGGCATCAAACAAGGTGGGTTCTCAGACCACTTCTCCTCTCTGCTGTACAATCTTCCTGGAATCCAGGCTGGACTAAATGCTACACTCCTCACCAGAGCCTAAAGCAGTACACCTTCTCCAGTGATCTAGCAAAGAGTCCATCAAAGTTACACTGTCCTTGATAAGGAAGCAAAACATATGACGCATATACCAAGAAGATGTTCAATAAAAAGGACTGAAAAAGAGTAAGTTTTATCACTCAGTACTCACTGAACTAGGAAATTAAATGAACCAAAATGCCTTGAACACATAGCCTGGTTAATCACATCCTTTAAGACTGTAGGCTAACTGCTGCTGAAGGCAATGTACTCCTGGTTGTACACATGGCAGCATTTTCCTCCCCATGTGATACACAAGTTTTAATTAAAGTGAGAGTCATTAAGGGCTCTTAGGCTGTAAAACCACCAGGTTTCAGATGCTTGTAGATCTGTAGCTTAACAGGGTTATGAAACAGGATTGCTTTTCCTCTGAAAATCAGTAGAAAGTATTAGAAGGAAAACTAAAATTCTATACCATTGCAGTAGTGGATGAGCAAGTGGGTCCTGTTTATCCATCTGCTTCTTGATTTCCAGATAGGGTGCCTGAAAAATAAAATCATCATAATCATATTACTTGATTTTTTCTTTAAAATTGATTGTTTTAAAAATGAAATCAGAAGCTGTGGGATAGTTAAAATTAAAGCATGTAGCTGTGACATGGGAATAGTAAATTATCCTCTTCACACTCTACAAGTGAAGGGAATGAACTTCCAGGCAGCGTGCAGAAAGACTTGCCTTCCAGTGTTAAGACACTTGACTCAATTTTAGTTCTGCTCTAGATCACTACTGCCTACCCAGTAGGCACACACAGGTCCCATTAGGTCTCCCTCAAGCAAATTCAAAGCTACCAAAGTGCAGAGCATTCATTGAACTACCTACTTTGCCACATTCTTTTCAGTAATTTCCCACTTAGCCCTTTCTACATACAGTCTTCCATTTCTACAGCAGTCCCCTTGCCATCACTCTGTTTCCACTCTTTCACTTCCCCGTAGCCCCTTTGGCTCCTGTGTTCTTCCTTTTTAAAAGAAATCTATTTTCATTTTCGTGGGTATGAGTGTTTTGCCTGCAAGTATATACATGCACTCAGGTGTCAGATCCATTGGAGTTGGAGTTATGGATAGCTGTTAGCCACCTTCCATGTGAGTGTTGGGAACTGAACCCGGGTCCCTGCAAGAACTTCTGAGCCATCTCTCCAGCCCAGTGTCTTCTTTACAAAGTACACTCCCCTTGGCTTGTTTGGGAGATGACCTTGGTTCACATGCAGCCTCCCCTACTACAGTGCTCAAAAGAGAATGTCTTGCCTCTTTTACAAAGTGTCCTAGTGTTTCTCATGACAGTGAGTACTTTTAATTTTAATATTAAAGGAAAATGGGGGTAGTTACTACATATTTCTACAAGAAAACTGGAAACAATTTACATTACAGTCCTTCTAATTTAATGGCATTTATTCCCAAATTAGCCATTTTAGTATAGACCAAAGAGCATCTTCTATGTAACAATTTAGAGCTACCCAGAAAGTAATACACTTTAAAATATGGGCAGCAATAATATATTTATATTTTGGAAAATCTTGAAGAATCTGATGCAATAAAGCCTGACAGCATTGCTGTAAAGTCACTCTGCAAGACAAGAGTACAGCATGACTTTTCCAAACTTGAGACACTGAGGCACCAAGCAACTTCTCCAAGGTCATGGGCCACATCATTGCTGAGCCAGTTACACAATTCTAGCCTGTAACGTCCTAGGCTGATGCTTCATCATCTCTATTGCCTCCTATTAAAATAGCTTACACATGACCCAGAATAAAGGAAGCAATTTTTGGCAGGGAGCTGATTCTAGAGTCAGAGTTTGTAGCTATTTTAAAATCTAAGAGTGAACTGGGTCTAGGGTATAATACAAATATCCTATACCAAACTCTTTTTCATTATTAAAGATGTTTATCATCATGTAAGATACCATGGTGGGTTCTTTTTTTTCTTACCTCCAGTGAAAATGCATTTTATTCTTTTCTTTCCTCATACAAAGAAATGTTTTTAGATAGTACTAGATGAACACAGAAATAGAACTAGAAGAGATGGGGGTGTAAACCAAGTAATAGCACCTGAGGATTTTAGGGCCTCATGTCTGCCACAAATTAACTGCAGAATGAATGAATGAAGATCGAATGAATGAATGAATGAATGAGGTACTGAACTACATGAATAAATAACAGCCAAAAGAATCAAGAATAAAGATAACACTGGGGTGAGCAGAGAGAGCAGTTTAGAAGCTCACTGAGCCCTGGACAGCAGAATATGCCTCTTCTTTCCACAGCAGAAATAAACAACCCAGGTTAAAGTCATTGCACCCTCACAGGTCCCAGCACTACACAAGCCTGGAAAGAGCATTTACAAGCTTTGTATAACATGTACCTTTAACTTTTGATTATTAATTTCTATTTATGATGAAGAGGTTTAAGCCCCTCTCCAACTTTTTGATAGCATAAAGGCCTCAGTACTTCAAAAATCCTCCAAATTATGTGCTTTTCCAAGTGCTAGGCTACAGTCCAAGGATGTGCTGATTTTTTCTAATCAACCCATTCTCTGGTCAGCAAATTTTTCTTCCAGAGCCCCCACTCCCCAAGGGCCAGGAACATAAACCCACACTCTTAGAGAAGCTGCATATTCCAAAGTGTTTTTCATTTCTGTTATACCCAAAATATTTGAAGAAATGTGTATCTTAAAGAATAATTCTAGGGACCTGGGAGATAGTTCAGTCAGTAAAATGCTTGCCACCGAAGCATGAAAACCTGAGTTTGGCTCTCCAGCACGAACAAAAAGGTCAGGTATACTGGCGCACCACTTTCATCCCAGCCCTTGGGAGGCAGAGGCAGGCGGATCTCTGAGTTCAAGGCCAGCCTGGTCTACACAGTGAGTTCCAGGACAGCTGGGGCTACAGGGAGACCCTGTCTCAAAAAAAAAAAAAAAAAAAGTATAGTGGCATGTTTCTGCTCCTTCAGCACCAAGGGAGCAGAGACAGTTGAATCCCTGGAGCTCATTTGCCATCCAGCCTAGGAGAATCAATAAGGCTAGTTAGTGGTAGTGGAAACTGTCTCAAAAAGTAAGGTGGAAAGTAATTGACGAAAATGCCCAATATTGACCTCATGTCTCCATATGCATACATGTACACATATACACTCACACATGCACAAACATACAAATATATACATACACCTCCACATATATATGTATATATATATATATATGTCACACAAGAAAATTTCTAGAGCTATGTGTGGTAGCATATGCTTGTAATCTCAGCACTCGAAAGATGGAAAAAGGAAGATCAGAGGTTCAAGGCCTCTGCAGCTACATATCAAAGTCAAGGCAAGCCTGGGTTACAGGAGATGCTATATACAAAACAAGAGCAAAACAAAACACCACCAAAACCCCAGAGTATTTGGCTTGATGGTGTGGTACATATGCAACACTACCTCTATTGTCCCAAATGTCTGTGTTTATCTTAATGCTTAATGTTCGAAACTGGCAGCATCAATTAAAATCGACATTCTAGGAAGATGGTATTAGAGTTAAAGTTTGTTTCAAACATCCTGACATACCTCAAGCCTTTTGCTCAAGTTTGAGAGACAAGTACTAAGATTAAATTACGCATTTATTCTCCAAACATCAGTGTTAGCATGCCAATACTCTAACAGAATGTAATTAAACTGTCCTAATGCAACACAATTCTTTTATACAAACAAGGAAAAAAATGGTTCCATTTCCATACATGGCTATATGGAATACATTTAAAAATTTGTTTACTCATGCAGTCTGGACTGTAGGAGATGACAAGATGACAAACTTACTTGTGTCATTTCTCTGATGGAAGTTATGCTATCCAGAGCTTTCATTACTCGATCATAGTTCTTCTTCTGTATGAGGAAAAAAGGCATTTTTCACTTACAAGCCTCTGCAAGTTACACATCACGAGAGAAATATATTATTTCTGCACATGAATTTTCCATCACAGCCAATGTGAAAGCGATGATGGTACATAGAGAGAAGACTGTCATAAGATTGGTGAAGGACAGAGGATTTATGACTACAGCCAGAGGGAAGAAAACTTAAATGTTATTCCTTTTATAAAGGCATAAAATCATATCCACCTGACTGAGATAAAATCTTGGCATATAAAAAGATTTGGGGCACTTGATTTTGGCTTTCACCACTAAAACAATAAACAACAAAGCAAGCATAGAACCCTCTAGAAAAAAAAGACCTACTTCAAATCTCCCAATAACTTTTAATTTTTATTGGAACATTATCACCCAAAGAGTAAGATGACAGTGTACAAGTAATGATTTGTACCCAGTGATCGCTCATTTCTATGCAGTATGTAAATAAGAAAGGAAAGGTCTTCCAAGGGAGTAGTCCACAGTTGTTCCTCTAAAATAATCTTAAGATGAACTATAAACTAAGCCAGTTTTGGCTCTCAGTTAACTTGAAATTTGGTTATGGCAGAAATACTCTACCATAAATGTTCCCATAAATGTTTATGAAATGGTTTTCTTAAGAAATGTGAGTCCTTTAACAACATGAATTCAATTGTTGTTAACTTTCAGGGAGAAGGGCAGGAGGGACAGCAAGGGAAGGGGGGGTGACTGCAAAATAACGAACAAAAAGGAAAAATTTCTCCCTTGCCTCATGAGCCTTACAAAACAAATGAGCTTTACATGAGTCAGAATCCCAAATATGTGCTGTGAACTTAAAATGATCATGAATACTCTTGGTGAATCACACAGAGAGGAGACAGCTGCTGTTACAAGCTTTCTGCACAGTGGGCCAAGGGGGACCACTTACCCTGGGGTTGAAGGCCAACATCTGCGGGTCATTAGGATCAACCACAGAGGGATATGGCTCAAAAATGACGACTTTTCTAGGAGATTCCAATGCAGATCTACACATGGACACCAGGAGATCTACCACCTTGAAACACACATGAAGTTACTAAGCGGCAGGGCCATCAGGTGCTTTTAACATAAAGTAATTAGGAAGTCCCAGGTCTGCCAGCCATCCCTCAAATCTATGATTCATGACTTTCTACAAACTTGGCCAAACTGAACCATTAAATAAAAATAACAAATGTGTGTAGCCTGTAATTGCTCACATTCTAGTATGTCTGTCATGAGCACACAGTATATGACAGCACTATTCTAGATTCCAAAGTAAGACAAAATAGGACAGGTCTGTGCTCAAATGGTATGTGATGTCTAATGAACAAGATACACAAAAAAATACCAATTAAAGGAATATGAGCTTCAAAAGAATTTCTGATACTGTTAAATGCAATAAGAATTAAGTAGGTGTTAGAGACTGATATGTAGGGAGGTGCTGGGGATACTTCGGCATCACGAGAGACCTGCCACTGTCTACAAAGATACTGCTGCAGGTGAGGAAAGTCACACAGGCATGAAGAGTTGGGCATAGTCTAGAAAAGTAAATTTTTCCAAATCATCCTGCTACTCTCCTCTGTCAAAGGCAATTGATGATCTTTGATTTGCTAAATACAGTAGTTTTGTGCTATGTTTGTTACTCAATGATCCCTCCACACAATACAGTAGAAGACAGCACTATCTAGAAGCTCAGTGGCCTACCTTCCCCAGTTCCCAGAAGACTATGCTCTATTTCTGAAAAGTGAATGGAGAAAACTGCTCCTATCTAAATGGTAGACAATCACCTGAGCATACATAAAAGGGAAAGCTATATCTGTCAAGTTTTAAAACAAGCATTTTAAAATGCTTGTAAGCAGAGCATGCTGGTACACAGTTGTAACCTTAGCACTGGAGACACTGAGGCAGGGGGCTTACAAGTTCAATTCAAGGCCAGTCTGGGCCAGTACTGGGATCCTGTCTCAATGAAAATAGCCCTAGGTAATTACGTACTTTTTAAAATTTTGTCTTTGCCTTGTCTGATGTTAAGCCAAAACTAATATAATTTCTACTGTGCTGGATAGCTTTAGTGTCAACTTGACACGCCTGGGTTGAGGGAGCCTCAATTGGGGAATTGCCTCTATTGGACTGGCCTGTGGCCATGTCTGAGGGGCATCTTCTTGATGAGTGATGTGGGAGGGCCTAGTCCACTGTGGGTGGTGCCACCCCTGGGCAGGTGGGCCTATGTTGCATAAGAAAGCAGGCTGAGCAGGGGCCAGGAGAACAAGCCAGCAAGCAGCATTCCTCCATGGCCTGTGCTCCAGCTCCTGCCTCCAGGTTCCTGCCCTGAGTTCCTACCTTGGGCTCCCTGATGAACTGTGACCCAGGAGATGTAAGACAAACAAACCCTTTCCTCCCCAAGTTGGTATCAGTCAGAGTATTTTGTCACAGCAATGAAGAAACAAACCAGGACATCTACTCATTAAAATGAAGAGCAAAGCAGCTTAAAAAGTGGTAATATAAATTTATAGTTTATAATATAAAACTTCTGATTCTCATGCTTTTATGTTGGGTATTATGAGCAAATGCCAATAGGACCTTAAAATTATTTTTTTCTGGGTATCCAAAAAATACCTACAGCAACATTCAGAATTTCCAGTGGCCTACACAAATTTGCAACATATAAGCCATTCATAAGACACAAAGCACATATATGCCCTTAGGATCATCCAGAAAACAACCAGAACCATAGTAGTTACTGTTTCTAGCATACCAGTCCATTTATGTGTGCATATACCCTCCCCCAGGCACACATTCAGGAAGTTTGGTTTCCCTCTCACACATTGGTTTTACTCCATAAAGATGTTTCTTAACCTATATAGAAACTGTTTTCAGTATTAGGTAGTCTCTTAAAGAAATAAAATGCAAACAGCAATTCTTAAAAAAGTAGACTCAAGCCAGGCACGGTGGCTTACGCCTTTAATCCCAGCACTCAGGAGGCAGAGGCAGGGGGGACTCTGTGTGGTTAAGGGCAGCTTTGTTGGCACAGGAGGGTCCAGGGCCGCTGGGGGTACAGGGGGAACCTGTTTCAAAAAAAACACACAAAAAAAAAAAAAAAAAAAAAAAAAACCAACCAAACAAAAAAAACCCAGTAGACTCAATAAGATAAAGTAAATAGCCTTTTCTCATGTTTTAGAGAGAAGAAATGGTGGGATGGATCTATATAATTAAAAAAAAACTTTTCAAGAATTATGCCATAGCATGACACTGAAACTTTATAAGGCTCTGTAATATTTTTCTTAGCCAATATTTTCACTACTGGATTTAAGTACGTTATAAGGCAATAATCCTAAGTGGATAGATAATTATGTCAGGAAAGGATTTCTGTAAGTATTCTAGCTGGTTTTATCCAGGTATTCCTAGGTGGAAAGGGGCTGGTAGTGAAGGAACAGGGTGCCCCTCTGTAATTCTTCCTCCACTCTACTATAGGCCATGCACTAAAGACCCCAGAATCACAAGTCACCATGTAGAAAGAAGTCCATCAAACATTCCAACTAGACACTGTATGAAATAAAATTCTAGCATACTGTGGTGGTTTGAATGAGAATGGCCCAAATAGGCTCCAAGTATTTGGACACTTGGTCCTTAGTTTGTGGTGCTGTTTGAGGAGGGTCATGGAACCTTTTGGAATTGTAGATGGAGGTGTGGCCTAGCACATCACTGGGGGTGGACTTTGAGAGTTCTTAAGCCCTGCTGGACTTAGTCTCGCCTCTCTGTCTCTCTCTCGCTCTCTCTCTCTCCCCACCTCCCATATCTTCTGTTGCCATGCCTCCCTCACCACTAAGCCTCTAACCCTTTGAACTGTAACCCAGATAAACTCTGCTGTTTATAAATTCCCTTGGTTGTGGTATCTTATCACAACAACAGAAAAGTAACTAATACACATATTAAGCCTCTGTAACTTTGGTTTGTCACAGAAGACAACACTGGGATCTATAACAAAAGGTTTATATGATACTATGTGGATTAAACATAACTAAAAATTTCTAAATATTTCATGAAGTACATTACCTACTTTTTTTTTTTTTTGTCTTTTTGAGACAGGGTCTCCTTGTAGCCCCAGCTGTCCTGGAACTCACTATGTAGACCAGGCTGGCCTCAAACTCACAAAGATCCACCTGCCTGCCTCTGTCTCCCAAGTGCTGATAACATAAAACTGACTTCCTTTAGCTCAAATGATATATTTCTCCATTTTACCCTTTACAATCAAATATTTTGAATTGTACCTTATAATCTATAAACACTACAGAGAAGTTGAACACATGTCTATCTTCTTAGCTTGAATAAAAATAAAATTGAAGAAATAATATGGAGGTTAACTATGATACTTAGGATAGATATTTAAAGAAATACTAAATTCACACAATGAGAATTAAGCCACTTAATGGGTAAAGGCAAAACATCTGTAAGTTTACAGAATCAGGTGCCTCCCCAAAGACACTACATACAATTCAATGGGGAAAGCAATTCCAAACACTTCCACTTTGAGGTAAGAAAAATCTTGCAAGTGAGAAAAATTCAATCATTGGTCTTTAGCTCCTTGAAAGTCTGAGTGTGTAAGAGGGGAGACTACAGGAAGAGCCGACAGATACACAGCGGAATCTGAAAGCAGAGGCAGATTTAGACCACAGAGCAATGGTTGCCAAGCATTTCACCAGGAACTCAATATTATTGTAATTGTCATGTCCTATATGAAAATGCAATATACAAACAAATTAAGCTGAACTTCTCTGGTTAAAGAAGTATTGGGGATCCTGGAATGACAGATGCTTAGGCCACAGGGCACTGCTGATCCAGTTTGTGTTCCCCAGAACTCTTCAGGGGAGGGTTCAAGAGATGCCAGGAGACTTTCAAGCTAGAGTTTCATTTTGTCGGTTTTAGTGGTTTCAATGCAGTCTTCATGTTATCAACGATGTTGGGCACAAGTTTAAAAACTGAAGTCATTTAAAAAAATGTTCTCAGGAGAACAGCAAAACCATCTTCAAATAAAGATTTCTAGGGTGAAATTTCTAAACTGACTTAATCAAGTTCTATAACCACTAGCATATTTACAATTCACCTTTACTTAAGAACCATGGTTTTCATGTAATGTTCGTTCCAGCGAACAACCCTCACATTAGTATGCTCTCATTTCCACTCTAGCAATTTGGCATTGGTAGGCTTTAATTGACTTATTTGAAGGAAATTTTATTATAGAAAAAAAATGTACATTTTCAGTGTACTACTTGAACAATTCCTTACATGCACATGTATACATATAACATGTATATGTATTAAACACACACACTTAGGTAAGAAGGTTTCAGTTATTTCTGCACACCTATAAACAGGAGTACCCTTGAAGTTAAGGGATATAAAAATTCATGGCTTAGGCCTGTATTAATGAACTACAATACTATCAGAACAAGGGCTTTAGCAGGCATTCCATACTTAGACGAAAAACAACACGTCTGTTGCATGATCATTTTCCCCTATATAACTCTGTGAATTTTAGGAAACTGGTAATTCCTTACACATTTGTCCACACTGACTTTTCTACTGAAGGTGAATACTTTGTTTCTTTACTAACTATATGTCCATTGTGTGCAACTATCTTCATTTTCTCTGCTAATCTTTTATAGTACTGATGGCTTTCTTCTTAACTTTCACGTTCTTTTTTGTGTTTCATTCTTAATGTTCACTATTTTTTTCAAATGAAAAACATTATACATGTGCTGCTTCGTATTTCCATTTATGATCTCCGCTTCTAAATGGATGGATAAACTTGATGCACTGTCTTGGGTTGGACACACTTTTACTGTCCTCTAGTTTGTGCATAATTTAATAAAGCAAACTGTTCCTTAAGTTACTTGAATTCATTTTGTATGCAACATAAGTCAAAGAGCTAAAATAATGATTCTTCCATAATAAGCTCCTTTATTCTTACCTCACTTACTAAAGAGCTATTTGCTAATTCATTCTGATACCCTCTTTAACATGTTAAATTTATGATGATCCATTTAAGAGCCACCTGCACTTGCCATCCTTGACTTTGTCCGTACTATATGCTGTAACATTGCATACTGTGCTTTGGTAAATGGTCGGCATGACTTCTCTTAATCAACAATTGTTAACTTTTTAAAGTTTTCAAAATTTTCCCAAAAGGGTTCCCAGATAGTAACCCAGCATAGAACTTGGAAAATGAACAGCAGACCCCAATCTCATCCAAAGGAATATAGACAACTGATTACTGAAAGATGAGGAACAGCTGACCCTGCTAAAACAAAGACCTCTTCATAGGCTGACTAGATTCACCAGACAGACAAGTAGTGGGGAATGGCTGGGGGTGCCGACAACACAGCAGACAGTAGCAGGGATATCAGAGTATAAGGGCTCTAGTGGGGGGAGGGAGGCTATGGGAGGGTGCTCTCTGGGAAGTGGGTGTAAAAATTAAAGAAAAAATTTTCCCCACATGATCACAAAAAGACAACTGAAAATCTGATGAATTTCATGAACTGATGAACTTTACCACATTTTATTTTTCCTTTCATAGAAACACATTGACATGATGCAACTCCCAAGTTTGTTATGTTTCCAAATTTTCTTCATATCTCTTAAATCTGCAACTGTAAAACCAAGTGCTCTCTTTTTCAAGTGTGTAGTCTGCCTGTTATCTTTTTACCTAGGTTTTAAAAATAAATTGACCCACTCCCCAAGCTTTTTTTTTTTTTTTTTGAGATAGGGTCTCACTATGTATCTAGTGGCTGGCTTAGAACTTGATAGGTAGATGAGGCTGGCCTCAAACTCATAGAGATTTGCCTGCCTCTGCCTCCTAAGTGCTAGGATCAAAGGCATGTGCCACCATGCCCAGCAATTTCCCCATTTTATGGCAGTATAACTATATGAAAAACTTTGCATAAAAATATACAAGATATTCTGTATCATTTCACCACGTAAGACAATTTTTAATTTTTTTTTTTTTGGTCTTTTTGAGACAGGGTCTCCCTGTAGCCCCAGCTGTCCTGGAACTAACTATGTAGACCAGGCTGGCCTTGAACTCACAGAGATCCGCCTGCCTCTGCCTCCTGAGTGCTGGATTAAAGGTGTGTGCCACCACGCCTGGCTGTAAGACAATTATTTTTAAAAGAAAATTGTTCAATTTCTCTCCTTGGGAACTGGAAATGACAAATCACACATAAAAACCACCAAATGTCAGTTTGCTTTTAGTAGGGAGCATCAGAAAAATTTCCCTGAAGAACAATAGAGTGAAGATGGCAGTGGACTGGAACAAGTTTTTCAAATTATAGTGAGAAACAATTAGCATCGGTACCTGCGCTCCAGTGGCTATTTCATCAGCGGCCTCATTCATGACGCCCAGGGTTTGAAAGGCAAACACGCACAGCTCTCGTTCACACACAGTGGGCTACAAAAGAGGGGCAATCACCATACTGCTTTCCACCTCTCAGTCCTAAATTACATTTATTTAAGTATTTCTACATAATAAATGGGAAGTACAGAGCTTTAGAATGCTATAAAAGAAAATTATGTCATTTTACTTCAAAAGTAAATTCTTCAATTGATGTAACAATAGTCATTTAGTTGAGTCAGAAATATGATAAACATTTATCCATTTTAGTAGGTTTTAGGTGCTTCCATTCTATTTAGCAATAAATGAAAGTAATATTAAATAGGAAAATCCATCTCTCCATGCAACATACATTTGCACATTAAATGTATTTATTTAAAATGTAAATCCTTAAGTTGATGTTATAATCACATTATGCACAAAAACTGCAGAGATCAAAAAAATGGAAAATTTCACTTTTCTTTATGAAATTTATTTGGGGGAGATAAGCATGACTCTACTTACTTGCTACCTAGATCTTGAAAGATTGCGTTTGTTGTACAGACTCTTGACTTCAGTAACCCCCTGAAGTCAACAGCTCTAAAATATACACTCTGCAATTACTTTGGAAGAGCTCTCATCTTTCAAATCTAATATGGTGTCATCCCCTTGATTTATCTTATCTCCCCAGTTACATTGCATTAGGTAGCTGATGAAGCCTAACGCAATGTCATCCACGGCACCTCCACATAGCAGACAAAAGGCATCTGTTAGTGCCACTGCTCCCAAGCTCGCTACCTTCAGAGGACGATGTGGTCTGTTGCTTAGCTGCTGGGGAAGTGTGAAGCCCTCCTGAACATCCTTTATGCTCAGGAGAGGCCCATATGTGTGGCTTGATGGATAGGAAGCCTGACTAATGACAATTTCTGGCAGAATCTCCCTGAAGAAAATTTTAGAAGAAAAAAGATTTGAAACATCTCTTTTGTTGGCTTTAGCAGTTCAAGTTTGAAATGCTGAAACTGTGGGGAAAGAGTCAATGGAGAGTTTTCCACACTCAGTCTGTACTCAGGGCTATGCATTTGAATATGCACAGAGCAGGCTGTTCAATTTCTGTTTTTCCTTTCACTTGAATGTTTAACTTATTATGAAATCTTTTGGTTTTTATCTGTATCTATATATGTATGCCATAGTCTCAATTTTCCCCCAATGACATGAGATTGTTTCTTTTGTTCACTTTCTGGGGGCATACAGCATGCTCTGATCTGAATGAACAGCAGCAACCATTACTGAGGACTATGGTTTGAAATGTTGCATGAGTGACTGAACATAACGAGGGTGCACGGGAACAAAACTGCAAAGGAGAAAAAACCTGGCCATCCCATAACAAAAGGATGCCAGGACATGCTCACACACCACCTGCCCCAGGAAACCGTGATGAGGAGGAAGCATCCTTTACTAATATAGTTCAAAGCTCACCATCTTTTGATTATTACTAAAATACAGTCATACCAAAACTGAGCAACAGGGTCTGGCTTACTTAGTGACATGAGAGATTATCAGTTGTATCTGAACCTTGGTCAAATACAATTTATGGTCACCTAACTCTGTATGTATGTGAATGTGTGTGTGTATATATATATATATATGTATATATATACATATATATGTGTATATATGTATCAGAATGTAACAACCAATACTACCTTCTCAGTATTATTTTTTAAACAGAAAGAAAAGATTTCACTATCACAGATTTAAGAGTTTATTAATTTTTTTAATATAGGAAACATTTCAAAACTTTTGAGAAATGACTTATTTCTCTCAGAATAACTTACACCAACAGTCTCAGAATTCAGGATTTGTCGGTCACCCTGACTTTGTCTAACATGGTTTTCAGAAATTTCATGCACTGGAATGTTCTCTGTAATGCTTTCTTCTGGTTTCCTCCCCTCCCAGACCTCTAAACCTCTAAATTCCATGGACTCGCCAACTGGTCTGCTTTCTCAATAATACATCTGCATTCTTATGATGAAACTAGAACATGAGTACTTTATGGACAAGTTTCTCTCTGTTGCTTGTTTTTGGCTGAAAGGAATCCTCCTTCCCACACTCAAATGTGTAAGGTTGACTTGTGGAAACATCTTATTATTCCAACAGTTGGAAGAAAGAAATCAGGCAAACTAGAAAATCTTTCTGAAAACAAAAATGAAAATAATTTGCTATCATACTTGAAAATTAGAAGTAAAAGCACACAGAACAGTCTTATAAAACATATTACACATTCTCATCTTTGTAATGTAGCAACCAGAAGATAATGTGTTGACATTAATTTCTAGAGCATGCAAACAGCAGACTAAGTAAATGCTAGTGAGCTGCCAAAACAATTCTATGGATTTTGCTCATTTTTATTAGACTCTCCAAAAGAATGTTCACGATGTAAGAGGTAATTCAGTTCAATTTTGAGACAAACATTTCTACATATTTTTGTATAGTAATAATACCTTCTTGTTTATCTACATTATATTTGCAGATTCAAAACATCAATACGAGAAGGTACACTAAAGGAAAATTCTCACATTTCATTAGGTAATTAAAATTTAGTATCTCTCTCCCACAGCTGGTCAGAATGCAGAAAATGAACCCTAAATGGAACGTCTATATCACAGTCCCTCTTCACATGATTCAGGGAACATTCCAGAAAAGGGGCAGAAGGAGTATAAGAGCCAGAGGTCAGAGAGGACTGCTATGAAACCAGGTTGTCTGGAGATGACAGGGCCAGGACTCTCATGAACTCACAGCAGCTATGGTTGCCTACACAAAACCTGAACAAGATCAAGGGAGTTACAATTCAAGCAGAGATGGTGGAGGGGCTCCTGAAGCTCCACCCTCAGTGGAGGAGCTTTGACAGTTGAAAGCTGCAGGGTGGGGAAGTCAGTGTTATTTAGGGATGTGGTCCCTGATAAGGTTGTCCATGCTCTAGTGGATGGCCCTACACTCATGCACATATAGACAGCATTAACTGGACTTAATGAGCTATGAAAAGAGAGCATGTAATTAGGGAAGAATTGGTGGTAGGGTGTCTGGGATGATTTAGGTGAGAGGAGGATGGATATGATCAAAATACAGAATACATGTATGAAATTCTAAAAAAATGAATAAAAATTAGGTGTCTCAGCTCACAGAAACGACATGCTGTTGAAGGAAGAGAACCTGAGTAAACTCCTCTTTGCTCCACATGAGCAGCGACAGTGTAAACCAGCCTTTTCCTACCCTGAAATGATTTGTGTGGACCCTGCAGGAAAACTGCTATGAGTGGTACACAAATATACCAGCTTCAATTCAAAACAGTACACAGCTGATTAACATTCATTACCAGACAGGGGTAATGATGAGTTTTATTACACATGCTTTAATAGAAATAATACACCAAAATGTGATCAAGTGTGTCGGTGTTTATTAATTTTTTTCCTTTCTGTTGCACTTTGCAGTATCATGGACTGAACCTCGGGATCTGCATGAGACAGGCAAGCACTCTATTACTGAGCTACATTCTAAGCCTTCCAAATTTATTTTCATTTTACTATACATTTGTTAGCTTCAATCTGTAAAATACTGTGTGCTCTTAAGATTTAATATTGTGTGCTGTGAAGCAATCAAGTCCCTATAATTTAGACTGTAAAACTATGACAAGTTCCTCTGTTCTCAATACATGCATAATATGTTTACTACACAGTACTCATTATTCACCAATTTAAAAGCATGGAGAACTTTTATACGTTCTTAAAATATGATTTATAGCCCGGCATGGTGGTGCACAGCTTTAATCCCAGAATATGGGAGGCAGAAGCAGGCAGGTCTCTGTGAGTTAAAGGCCAGTCTGGTTTACATAGTGAGTTCCAGGCCAGCTGGGGCTACAGGGAGATCCTGTTTCAAAAGAGAATTTCCAAATTCGTTCTATGAAGTCAGCATCACGCTAATACCAAAGCCAGGTAAAGATACAACCAAAAAAGAAAACTATAGACCCATATCCTTTCTGAACATAGATACAAAAATTCTCAACAAAATACTTGAAAACCACATACAGACACACATTTAAAAGATTGTCTAGTCAAAACACATCATAAATCATATAAATGGGCTAAAAGACAAGAACCACATGGTCATCTCAGTGGATGAAGAGATGGCCTTTGATAAAATTCAACATGCATTTATGTTCAAAGTCCTAGACAGAATTTAATTGGAGGGAACATACCTCAACATATTTAAAGCCATATATAACAAACCCACAGCCAACATCATTCTAAGTGGAGAAAACCTGGAAGCATTCCCATTGAAATCAGGACCCAGACAGGGCTGGCCACTATCCCCACTTCTCTTTAGTGCTTGAAACTCTTGTAAGAGCAATAAGACAAGAGAACAAAATTAAAGGAGTAATAATTGGAAAAGAGATCAAATTATACCTTTTTGCAGATGATATGATATTATGTCAAAGAGACACCAAAAATTCCACCAGAAAACTCCTAGAAATTATTAACACGTTCAGTAAAGTGGCCAGTCACAAAATTAATCTACAAATGTCTTTAGTCTTTCTATATACCAATAATAAGCAATCAGAGAAAGAGTACATGGAAACACTCCCCTTCACAATAGCTGCAAAAAAAAATCTCAGAATAAACCTGACCAAAGACATTAAAGACCTCTACAATGAAAATTTTAAATCTTTAAAGAAAGAGATTGAGGGAGACATAGAAGATGGAAGGCCCTCCCATGCTCGGGGATTGGAAGAATTAATATTGTAAAAATGACCATCCTACAAAAGCCTTTTATAGATTCAATGCAATGCCAATCAAAATACCCATGACATTTTTCACAGAATTGGAAAAAATATCCTAAGATTCATATTGAAGCACAAAAGACCTCGGACAGCCAAAGCAAGTCTGAGCACTAAGAGCAATGCTGGGGGGATTACTATACCAGACTTTAAACTGTATTACAGAGCTATAGTCATAAAAACAACATGGTACTGGCACAAGAATAGACCCATAGATCAATGGAACAAAATCGAAGACCCTAATATG